AACAGATTATACAATAAGTAATCAATTCCCAAAACTTTCCTGATTCATAAATGGTAAGAATGGTTCATAATAGGCTGGAGGTTATAGAGATTCTGATATCTCTCTAATGAAATTCTGAAATGAGGGTGGTGGCAAATATTCTTTTAGCCCTAGTTCTTCTCCTTACAGGTAGCTTACTTTTTTTTTTTTTTTTATTTTAACCTTCCCTCAAGGCTGAGTTTAAAGTATTTATTCAAATGATAAAACTGTAACCATTATATCTTTTAGTGTTAGGAGTAAGAATGAGTTCCACTTTGAAACTTCCCTGAAGGTTAATTTTTTTTTTTTTTTAAAGATTTATTTTTATTTATTTATTTATACAAGCACTGGGTACAGTCAGAAGTGTAGGAGGGTGAGAGAATTCACCAGAGCCAGAGCGGGGAGCAGAGCAGGCAGAAGGACCGAAGTACACTGCTGAGGGGAGCAGCGGGCGGCAGGAGAGGTCTGCGCGCCATGTGGGGCCCTCACCCGGTGGCCGGGGAGCAGCCGGGGATCGAACTGGCACTGCAGAGGCTGCAGGCAGCTTCGCAACCCAGCACTCAACCGCTGCGCCACCGGGGAGGCCCCCTGAAGGTTAATTTAAACTGTTCTTTCCAACTATTGATAACATTTTTTTGTCCCTGACATTGTTCTTTGAATCCTACAGATCTCTGAAAACATGGAATATCTCTAATCATTTTCATTCCTGTTTGCTACTTATCTAATATTCTTTGCACTTAACTGTTCCTTAAATGGTATGTCAAATAGAGCTAGCAGAACCCTCCTCCCTGCCATACGCACAATTTTAAATTTTAATTTCTGAATTCTAGTAAGTCTCCAATTCATTCTTCAGGATAATCATCAAAATCATTTTTTTTGGCTCACAATAGGTTATAAAATGTTTTCTATTATGAGTATGATTTGACATTTCTATAAATTTTCAACATCAATATTGTTGCTGTCCACTACCCAGTGCACTGGTGCACTTGTAAAAAATAGTTATTGTTTCGTGTACATCTTATGCAGGTATTCCACTCACAAAATTTCCAAAAATCAGGAGTGCTATAGTTCAAAGCTAAAGAAGAGAAAGTAGTCTCTTGTACTTTGATTCCTAAAGGCTTCCACCTAGAAGTGGCTTGTATATTCCATTCCTGTGACATGGCCAGAGAAGTGGCATCCCACAGCATGTCCAGAAGGAGAACAAGGTAGTGAACAACACTAATAATCATAAAATAAAACCCTCACTGGTACAGTTTTCTACATTATGACAAAGTATTTTTTTTTTCTCAAATACAAATCAACCATGATATTGAAGCCGTACAATCACTAATGTGTAGTGATATGTTGCAAACACAGACTTTTTTGTCATTTCAAATTAGAACTCTTTGAATAATATGCATTTTCTCTCCAAATCTTTGCTTCTTCTGCATGGCAAATCAAGCATACCCAACCCTGTGAGAAGTTTTGGCTACAGATGCCCTCATTTTATTTTATAAACACTCTGAGAGAGAGTGGCTAGCCATCCTACTTTAAGAGGACTCAGATGTATAAATGACACATAAATGTATTCTGATATAACATTTTTTATTACAGTATGCCAAAGGGACACTGCATCGTAATTTGATTTATACTACTTACCTCTTGATGGCAGGTATATGATAGGAATATTTTTAACTGCCATGTATGAATTGCTGAAAACCACTATATGTCTGGTCATGTAAAGTATTTGCCAAAGTAGTGTTAAAATAAGATGGAGCTGGATGTTCAAATGACCCATATTGTGATATTAAAATCTATATCATATAGATACACAACTTCCACTAAGTTTAATAACTAGCGAAAGTGGAATAGATGCTAATCTAAAGTATCTGGGCTCCGACAATATATTATTTAGATAAAGACAAAAAGTCATTTGACATTTTAGCTTACTAGTATTCTCCCATGTTTCATCGTTACAATGTTGTCCTGAAATATTCACTTAGAAGCTCTGATGTCGACATTAATATATAGATTTTTATTTCCAACCATTCATTTCTCTAAACTATAGTCAGTCCCATAATAAAAATGGCCTTAATATAACTGAATTTCATTGTACTTCATGTTAGTTTGAATAGAGTCTACTTGAAATGAAATAAATTACTTTTATCTGTTCCAATTCCTAACCCACTTTGTGGAAGAAATATTTGAATTCATCAATTTTAGAGAGACATTGAATCATCCTTCAAGCAATATATGATGACATTTTGAGCACAAATATCAAGATTATTATTTTTAAAATTAAATATTACCTGAGTGTTTAAAGTGGCTGAGGAGCATATTAATATTAAATATTATTTCTGACATTTTAAAAAGGTCAAATATGCTGCTGTTATACAAAAACTATTAGCAGAAACATCAAATTATTATAATCATTCTAAACACTAATTTGGTTCAAAAGTTAACATTTAGAGAGTTTGGACTCAATATTTCTTCTCAATGAAGGTCAACATAATTTCACTGTTCAAGTTTTAGCCAAAAATATATTCACTCAACTTAAAAACATTAATTTAATATCAGTGACTACTTTCTCTCTATTTCTAAGTGAACATATTAATTTTTCCTGGCTTATTACAGTTGTCAGAGGAAAAAAAGTAACTTTTTCCTACTAACTTTTTCAATCTCTAGCTAACTCTTCTACAAAACATGATCTTTGAGCATCAAAGATAGGTAAAGATATGAGGTTGAGAAGGATATTTCCTACTTTGTAACTGAAAGATCAAATTCTCTGGTGACTGAAATGAGAACTAAAGCGTGAACAAAAATCTGCTTTTAGTTCATTAGAATCAGTTGCCTGTCTAAAATTTCAAACTCATTCTACTTATGGACAGAATAAAATAAAATATTGTTTGAACAACAGCAATATTCATAATTACAAGATTATTTTTGGATGGACTTTCTATATCTCCATTTTTTCCTTCAGTATAAATATTAGGTGAATAATTATCTTGCTATTTAATCCCGTTTCTTACTTCATTCTCTTCTCCTTGTAAATTCCCACTTCATTTGTTTACTTAGTTTTTTTTTTTTTCCAGAAGAAATCTTTCAGTAACACTTGCTATACTGTACCTTTAAAGGGATGTCATAACTGTAAGATCTTAAAAAATCTACAGGTGATCAACTGTATTTCAGTTTAGATAAAGTATGTACTGAGGTGTTTTATATGTGGTATCTTTGGTTATATAAAAATATTCAACAATTGTTCCTCATGTATGTCTTCCTTTTCCATTGTATTTTCTTCCTTAAAGGCTAACATTGTTTTTAGAAGATTCCACAAACTGTTTAATAAAATCTCTGGAGAATTTTTATTTGATAATAGCTGCTGTATTTCTATTCTTTAAAAAGGTAAAAGGGTCTTAGACTTGATTTATAGAACTTAATTCTTAACAAAGTCTCTACAAATTAGAAAGCATTCTCAGCTACTGTGTACTAATAAAGAGACTGAGCCTCCAATTGATAACATATCTTGTTTAAATTCAAAAAGTAATAAGTATATAAACTAGATTTGGAGCAGAAGTCATAAAAGCTATTTTTTAAATCTTCATTAAAAATGATTGCTTAAAAATTTACATAACACATTTTTCTCACCTCCTTTAATTAAAATATAAATAAATTCAAATAGATTACAAAAGAAATGTTCGGAATCATTTCACACTAGATAAAAAGGTTAAATGCCGGCAGATTGGGCCCCCTGGTGGCATAGGGGTTAAGTCTCAACACTATCACTGCTATGGCTATGGCCTGAGTTAGATCCCTGACCAGGGAGCCAATACAGATATGGAGCTGAGACCTCTCCTGTCCCTCCCCCTGCTCCACTCAGCAATGTATTTCAGTAGATCTACCTGTTCTGCTTCCCCCTCTATCTCTGGTGAATCCTTTCAGCCCCGCACCTTTGGCTTATACCCCAGTTCTGGTATGCATAAATAAAAAAAATAAATCTTAAAAAAATAAATTTTCAGACTTTTATTTTGATTTTGAAATCTTCAATTTATCTTTGATTTTTTTTCATTGACTTTATGAACTGAAATAATTAATTTGCAGCCCTGAATTTATCATAAGCTCACAAGCGCCACACTTTCCCATGGCTCAATGTAAAGGGTAACACACTGGGGGTGATGGGTAGTGTGAGTCTTCTTTAAGGGGCAGTGGACTCAGTAGTATGGAGGGCCTCCCTGGTGACTCAAGGGGTCAAGCACAGCACTGTGATGCTGTCCACAGCCTCTGCAGTCCAAGTTCCATCCCCGGCTGGCCAGGGAGCAACCCACATGGCGCAGCAGACCTCTCCTGTCTCACCCACTGCTCTCCTCAGCAGTGTGTTTCAGTAGATTTGCCTGTTCTGTTCCACACTCTGTCTCTGGTGAATTCTCTCGCCCCCAGCCCCCCACACCTCTGGCCTGTACCCCAGTTCTTGCATGCATAAATAAATCTTTAAAAATAATAATAAAATTTAAAAATGGATGTAATAAATTGTTCCCTTAAAATTTCAACCTTTAAGAGGTTTAAAAGACAACAGCTATGCTCTCTGAGGTTCGTCCACATGTGTATTTCATTGCTGTCCTATAAGCAATATCGAGCCTACTGAAAATAAATGCCATTCCTTTTTTCTGAGTGTGCCTGCAGGAGCAGTCTTTCAGCATGAATTGCATATTCAAGTTTCCTGCTGCTTTCAATCCATCTAGGATTAACCAGAATTTACCTGTTTACAATAAATGGAATGGATATTGGGTATTTGATCAAAGACAGTCCTCAGGCCTTGTAGTTTCTTCTATTTGTTGAAATTTAATGTCATTTAACCTCTGGGAGTGGAGCACAAGCTTTCTTCTAGACCAGATTTCTCTAATTTATAGAGGAAGCTTTTTGAATGAAATGGAGCTGGAAGGCTGGTTTTTATTTGTTTTGGCTCAAAATGTTTGCGTTTTTATATCACTTCCTTGCTCCAGGGACTCTACACAATGGGTGATTTTTTGCAGATCTGAAAAATAAATCAATCAATATGAGAATTTGTTGGTCTGTATTTGCTATTAGTATTACAATCTTTTTTTCACCTGGGACATCTTCTACAAACTCAGTTAATAAAAGAGAAGCCCTTTCAGTGTTTTAAGCCATGCCTGTAATACAGATAAATAAATATACCCAACAACCTAACATCACTCTTATTTTAATAAAGCAAGGGAATGAACAGTGTCTGGAGACTAAAGAGCTAATAGACGCCACATAGTCTTAACTAGTGTCCTGTATTTGGTGATTGTTATTAATGTGGCTTTTAAGTTGATGATGATAAACATTTTCTCAATCTGTCCTACCTTTAAATTAATAAAATAATTTGGGATGGGATAGAAAAGGAAAGAAAGGTAATAAATATTTTAAAAAAGCTTACCAGAATGAGAGAACTTGTTTGTTGAATGAAGAAAGCCATTTCCTCTGAAATTTATATTGTTAAAGGTAAATCAAGAGAGAAATTTGGAAATTTAATTACTAGTTTTAACAAATTAATTCCAACACTATAAAACTACAGATACATAAATATATAATAATACCACTCTTGAAAAATCTCTTTATCAGAGAACTTTCAGGTTAATATTGCCGGAGCTGTATTACAAACACTAATTGTAATTAGGGTAAAGTTTCATTATCTGTAAAACAGGATGGTAATAGATTGTCTCTACATCACAGGGTTTTTTTTTAATTGAATGAAAAAACTGGGCATAATGTTTTTCAATGTACCTGATATCACATGAGAGATTAATAAATATTTATCACTTAATTAATTGCCATGATGAATATTAACTTGTACTTTATGAAGTGATTTTACAGGCATTAATCAAGCGATATAGACAGGTAGAACCTGATTTTTTAATACTTGATTTACTGATAAGGAAATGAAAAGTTAGAAAAACATTTGTTGGCATGTTCTTTATCTGTTCAGTCTAGAGACAACATTTATAGTGATGAGTGCAGCTTTATTTCAACACTAGGTTGTTGAGTTCTCAGTTTTCCACTCAGTGGAGGTGTGCCTGAGGCTAATCTTCTTGTGTTCCTTCTTAATTGACTAATATTGATTAAGTAATGAAAGTTTTGGTAATAATACATTATTAGCATGTATTCATTAAATAAATAAATATAAAGCATTGGTAACTTTGGAAGCACTTATAATGAGCATTCAAATATATTTCCTTGGATTTGTTTCTTAATATGCTTCCTCCACATTTTAGTAATTAAGGATCTTTCTTCTCTCACGGGAAACAACAATTTGTGTCCTGGTCTCAAAGATATACTTGAAACAAATATTACAAGAATAATTTCAACTTCCATGAGAGCCAAAATGGGAATTTTATCAACTTAAAGGACCATATTCTCAGGCAATTTTACTGGTTTCTGAGCTTCCTTGAAGATCAAGATTTTCTGTGATATATCAGTGTTTTCCAGGAAATGCCATCATCCTGTCCTCAATATAGAATTAACTATGTCACAAGAAAATTTTCTCATATTTGAGATCTTGCCTTGTACAATGACAGAATTTTCACCTGAATTTTTGCTTGGTTTTCTTTATGAGAGTCACTATGGATATTAAAACTTTATTCAAATCACCATCCCTCAACTTTGCTCTAATATTGCCTGAATCTCTAAGGTGTCGGAAATGTTTCCTATGGTTGTTTTTTATTACAACCTATACACATTCTACTCATTATTTGTTGTCCAAAATAGCCTGTTAGTATCCATCAGTGATACAGTCACTAACAGGCCCATATGTTTATTAAAACCTTTTCTGAGAAACACACACATATTCAGAATAGACATGGGGCCAGCAAAGAACAATAACACAAACATTTCTGATCATACAGCAAAAGAAGATGGAGCAAGAATCAGTTTTGAGACAAAAAGCAAATTCAGATCATGGATTTCCATAGTTCTACTCATTTCCATCAACATCAATCTTTTTGACTAAGTTTTGGAAAACTCAAAATAGTTACATTATTTTTAATGGTTCATTTCAAAAATAATAATTATTCAGATGAATGCCCTGTAAACTATAAATATTTATAACATCATAATGATTAAAAATGAATTAATAGGATACTAGTTAAGGTCTAATTTTAACAGACAAACATACAGGATAAATCTATATTCTTAATTTTTAAAATATGATTATGAAAAACTGTTCCAAAATTTTTCAATATTGTGTTTCCTTGTATGGATAAGTAATAATTTCTGTGATTACATTATGAGCTGAAGTCAGTCTGTCTCTTCACTACAGAATTCACAGAAACATCCCAGGGACTCTCCAAATGTATAAATGATTACTTTATTATAGAAGTTAGCATGACTTCACTTTGCATTTTCTTAACTGTAATGAAGTTACTGAAACTATTAAGTCAAGTTGGGGAGGCAGATTAAATCTACTATTAAGGCCATAAAGAAAATGTGATAATGTCTGTCTTCACCAGAGGCAAATTACATGATTTCAAAACATAGTGATAATTTGTACTGTAATTAGTGGAAGTAAACCTAGTTTCATGCATAGGATTGAGACGATATCATTTATTTTCTCTTCTTATGTCCCTATATTAATTTCATTTGAAAATATTATATCTCATTTACTTGTCCTATTTATTTTACCTATTTTCTATATACCTGGTGACAAAACTCAAAAAAAACTGCTAACCTTTATTTAGTTCACCTTGGTTTAATTCTGTGTAACCAGAGATTTATCTGGTCAAATGGGGTTATAGTCAATAATAGTAATCTGCATTTTTTTTGTAGAGCCATGGTTATTTATATTCCAAAAGAGTGAATAAAAGGACAAAAAAGCATTTTTGATAAGAAGGCAATAACAAACCTTGCTTTCTAAGAAACTGTCTATCAGACATGTATATTTGATATATAGTGGGCACGTAAGTAATTTAATAAATAAGACTTGAGATTAAAACTCAAGATAAACAATTCTAACCTTATAATTGGTTGTCAGTGATGTTATCTATCGACAAAAACTCCAACTAAGTCCAAGGATTTATTTTTATTATTTTTATAATGACAGAATAATGGTTCTCTAGGCAGTGAATTGTTGAGTCATTATTACAATTCTGGTAAGAAAGAATAACCTTTACTTCTGACTTTTGCCTTACAACTTCACCAGAGACATGCTATAATCACCTTGACAGGCATCTCCTATTGTGTCTTATTGTTGCATAAAATAATAGAAAGAAAGAAAGACACAATCTGATGAGCTAATTAGAGTTCTGAGCTCAGTGAATACTTCTAATGCCCTTTGTCAATTGAGATCACACTTGCCTTTGGGCCTAACTTACTTACAACCTTACTTAATTCGTGTTTTGTTTAGTATCATTGTAACAAAGCTTAATTGTTCTGTATCATTTAAAAATTATCTTAACATAGAAATATTTATAAATTTTTAAATAAAAAACAGGAAATAAAGAAGTGTACTAATGTCAGTGTTCCCTCTTGGACTAAATTAATTTTAACAATTTAAAAATTACTCCATAAGAGACATAAGCATCACTGTTAGGACTAACTCAAACATGTTTGCCACTTGAATCAATCAACTTATTTAAAATCTGTCCTATTTCTTTGTTTTAATAACTTGAGAGTTATCACTAACACTTGGAGAAAATGATTATAGCAACTAACCTAATATTAACATTTGAAATGATGAGGAGAGAGATGAGTCAGTTCTCAATCTTGTGTGTTACAGTACTATCCATTTCTTCCCCTTGGTTGTAATGCCATCATGGATTGTGGAAATAACAACCTGAAAAAAAGAAATAGTTGCAGATTAGGGCTATGATATTTATTAACATTTATCACAAGCTGAACTATTACTTCTCTGTTAGTATATATTTCTCCAAGCTTTGGTAGAAGAGCAAAGGTGTGATGACCCAGGAACCTCAGGTGAATAAATGAATGCATGAAATCTCCACCTTACCTTACTTCTACTTACCACTTCCGGTTTCTTCTTTATTTGTCTTTCAATTTGTAATTAGAATTAAAGAAAACCTTTCAAGAACTCTCCCCTTTCTTATTCGTTGAGCTTGAAAATAAGTAAAGTAAAAAATACATTGATCAAGACATATTTATCTTCATTACCTGCCTTTAACTTTTAATTTTAATGTTCTATAGATGTTTTTAGTGTTAAGTCTTTCTCTTTCACACCTCTGTGCTTACAGATGTTTTTTATATAACCAATAAAGGCCTCCATTAAAGAATTTGAACTCTTGATTCAGGCATATCTTTGTGCAATTCTGATTTCTTACCTTTAACCTTTTTTAAAAGTTCAGTTTCCCGTAACATAATAAATTATGCACCTCCCTTGCTAGAATGATTTGATGATGACATGAAATAGTGTATGCTAAGCTTGTTTAACTCCTCCTGGGGTAAGTATTGTATAATGATCATGCACATAGTTATTGTTATGATTGATAGCAATTATATATTGATATTGGGTTCCTTTGTGTGAGGATCATAAATAGCCCAATGATTATGCTTTTTATTAAAATTCCAAGATGAAATTAAATTTCTAAAAATCATTTATTTTATGACTTCATAATTTCAAAACCGTTCTGTTGAAATTGCAGAATCTATAGTAATAAAATAAGTATTGGAGGACTGAAGAATAAATATTGGCCTCTTGTCTTTGAGCAACATATAATTCAATGATGAATGCATTTTATACACAAACACAAAAACCTAAATATAAGAGTATTATAAAAAGACAAGTGCATCATGTTACATGTACATAATTTAAAAACAAGTACATACTTTTAAAAACTGCAACAAAAGACATTGTATAATGAGGGAGAAATTAGTTGATAAAGGAGTTTCTTAAAGAAGAAACTCAGGACTGTCCTCCATTTGAGACTCTACACTCAGTTTCCATTTATTCAGACACACTTAGAAACTGACATGATGCATATTTTCAACAGAGTATTGGTTAACTTTGTTGTTTTAGTATGCCTTATTATTGGGCATAGGATTAAAGATTTTGAGGTATCTGTAATAGTTTGAGTCAGGATTAGATGAAAAGTTCTTTTTCTAGGTCCATTTTATGAAAAGGTTGTGGAGGGCAGTGCTGAACAGCTGTTTGCAGTTTATAATTAAACTTGAAAGTAAATTCCCTGAATCCTCCCTCTTGCTTCCCTCTCTTAAACTGACAGAAGATAGGGCCTCCCTGTTGGTGCAGGGGGTTAGACACAGCGCTATGAGGCTGTCTGCAGCCTTTGCAGCAGTTCAGTTCCCCATCGGCTAAGGAGCTGCCCACATGACAGGGAAGGCCTCTCCTGTCTCGCCCACTGCTCCCCTCAGCAGTGTATTTGTCAGTCTGCCTGTTCTGTTCCCCACGTGGTCTCTGGTGAACCCTCTCACATCCCCCCTCCCCACATCTCTGGCCTGTACCTCAGTTCTTGTATGCATAAATAAACAAATCTTTAAAAAAACCCAAAATCATTTTGATACACTAAGGAGAAGACACACTGGAAATGTTGGATAACTGGTCAAATGTAAACAAAAAAGTGCTATTGTAAAATTGCAAAATTCTGTCAGAAAACATCTTCATATTTTCTCATTTTTAGCACATGTCACACTTACAATTAAGACAAGAGTTTCTTTCTCATTTAACTAAGTTCCTGAAGACAGGAATACTGTACATACTAGTTATCCTGATCTCAGAAGTTATCAGAGTGCCTGGTATATGGTACATTGTCAATGATATTAATTAAATGAATGAATAAATGAATATATAGAAATAGAAGAATAACTATCTTATTATTTAACTTTATCTCATCTACTTTTACAGTTTAAACTTAAGACTAAAATAAGATAAGAAAATGTGAGTTATGATAGAGTGCAAAGAAATCATCCCTTATACCTATTAGTTCTTGACTGAAAAATAATCAAACAAGTATCAGATAGATTGATGAGAAAAAGTTAAAAAGAAGTTTAATAATAAAAGGTATATGTCCTAAATATATGAAGAGATCCAGCATGACCAAGTAAATCACCCACATGGCTTCAAATGTCTTCTTAAATAGCTTAGCTTTTATTTATTTAGGTAGCTTTAGTGAAATAAATTATTATTTAGCTTTTATTTTATTTGTTTGTTTGTTTGTTTATTTATTTATTTAGCTTTTGGGGGTAGGGAGTAAGAGAAGGTCCGTTAAGGGAGTGAGGTGGTCACTCAGAAAGGCACAGTAGACAAAGACATGCTAATTTAAGTTCCATCTTCTATATAGAAAGGGGTAAGTTGATTAGGTCTTCCTAGTACATATCCTTGGAGAAGTTTATCTATAAATATGCTTTTCAAAAGCAACCTCTATTTAGTTTTCAGAGCCCTCTCCATGAAATCATTCTTTTGCCAAAAACATGTATTTGGAGGTGACAGATTTTTATTCCCCTAATTACAAGCTAGTGATTAAAGTCAACATAATCAAAATTGTCCCCTTCTAAATCATGTGTTATACATATATGACCATTCTATTATAACATGTCTAGAGGCCACTAACAACATTCTTCATTTTTCTATTTTCCTTTCTCAGACACTCATAATTTTTAAGGTTATTTAATTTTGATATAAGCTTACTATTGAATACAAGTAAACATCTCGGAATTGCAGGCTTCTTTAATCTATATTTTAAAATAAATTTGACCATATGAAAGCATCTGTGAAATCTGACAGGATACAAATTAAGCAAATTCAGTAGGCCACATGAAGTTTTTTTGGAGATATTTTAAGAAAAATATTAGCAGGCTGTATTGGTGCTATTTAAAATGCTTCCCTCTTTTCCATCTACTTCCATTTTCCAATTTTCTAACTTATTTCTTGACTTATTTGTTCTACATTTTTTTTCTACAACTGTTTTTCTACAGATTAAGTTTATATATTTTCTTCTTCTAACATTTTTCAATTTCTCTCTTCCAATAGATCCTCTTTATTGCCTACCTGTCTGAGATACTGTTGACTGATTCGCACTCTTATTAAACCATCTATGCTTCTGAAGCCTCAGGTAGCAGCCGCAGCCATGGTCTGCCCCCAAAAATGGAAAACGAAATTCCAAACTTTTTCTTAAATGTGACAGAGAGAAAAGTTTATCTTTATTTGTAGTCCTCAGAATCATCTGGCATCCCCTAGAGATTTGCAACAGGAAAGTGATTTGGAGCTTCCACCAAACTATTCCCTGACCTCCTAGTGGAAAAATCAAGAGCCTTGAGGGTGTGAGATCATTTCCCACAACTTTTTAACTTTTCTCCCTTTTCCCACTAGGTTAATCATTCTTAGCTAAGAAGAGGGAAGATTCTCATTTTCCATGCTTTTACTCTACTCCAGTATCCTCAAGGGAGCAATTTGTGGGAATATGGGCTCCAGAGTGCCTTTAAATTTTCAAGCAAGTGCAATCAGCACACCCACTAGAAGGCAAACCATACTCTGCTGTACAGAAGTTAGACAGTTGGCAAATTGCCATGTGCTTAACATGCTAGGCAGTACAAAGTAATTTACTTTATGTCATTTGTTATTCTTAGGTAATATGCTTTGACCATTTTACTTTCAGTTGAAAGGCTATTATATTTAAATCTTGGATTCTGTACATTTGAACTTTATGAACTTTAGACTAAATTTCTATTTAATCTGAATGCCAATTTAGACTTGGGCTTTAATAATAGTAGTATACCCATTAGCATTGCACCACTACAAGGAACTCATGTATACATTTATTGTATATATTACCCTGTTTTAATCAGTGTCTTAGGTCCCGGGTTGCACCAAGATAAAGTTATGATTGAGCACTTAAGATAAAACTAACATGACCAACAAAGCCTCTATAATTTAGAATTATAAGGAGCAAAGGAGACATGATTTACACTTTATATAACACAGTAAATGAAAAGAAAATGACCTTTCATATTCAAAAGTTCCATATTCAATGAAATATTTTAAACAATATATATTTTAATTTTTATAGAATTAATATGTATTC